ATATAATGCCACCTCCAGAGGCAGACACTGCTAAGATAACATAGCACTCGGATGCCTAACAGTCATTTAAACACTGCCTTGGATGTCTCCACTGTCAGGATGTGGCAGATCTGGCAGTAGCCATCTAGTTCCCAACTTTGACATACAGGCCACCTTCTCTGCCTAGTTTTACTATCAGCTGCCAGACTTTTGTGCTTTGTGGAGTTTTCTGCATCTGCAGAGAGAATTCATGGCTGGTGATGGCAGATGAAGTTCGGAACAAGTAGCAGTAATGATCTGTGCCAGGCTAAGTACATTTTTCAGCTTGAGCTGCTGAAAAAGGGCAGAGCCTTTAATAAATATAGGTGCCACCTACCTGCATCTGAGAATGAATGAGATTTTCCTGACCACAGAAGCAGAGTATCTCAGGAGTCCTGCTGTGCAGGAAAGTCTACCAGAGGAGATGGACCAGCAAAGCTGTTCCTTTGCTGTCCCCACCACTCTAGCATGGTTCATACAAGCTGCTATGCTGACAGAGTGGCCCACAGGAGCAGGGTAGAGCAAACCTCACAGCTAATGGACTTGTCCTCTTTTGTTGTCTTGTTTGACTTTCCAGTATGACCCACCAAGATCCCAGAGACAAGCCTTTTAATCAGATTGGGGCCCTAGAAGCAATTGTGTCAGGGGTGACAGCTGGGGTTGAATACGCCACTGCTCTTTTCAGAAACTTTATTCAGCTCCAGGACTGGTTTTCTGGAGTGTCCATAACAGAAAGGCCATGTGAAACTCTAGCCTGTTTACCAATTCCTTGGACATTTTGTGACTGCTCAGCTTGTGTCTGTCTGTCACCTCTCCTGATTGTGTTTACATTTATTTCTGTCTCCATTCTCACTGCTGCACCTGCCTTGCCCAAAATGGCTAAATGAGTCTCTGTTGCCAGTGTCATTTTTGTCTGAGAAGCATGACCATGAGGGCTGGCATGGGGAGCAGTGTTTCTTCTCACCTGCAATAAGTTAGCAGTTGTGAAACTGATCTAACTATGTCTTTCGTGATTGTGGTTTCTCTGTCTGACTGTGGACTTCTTCCTTGTTCTTTCTTTCCAGACTCAAGTTCTTTTTTTCAGAAGCATCCTTCAGATTAGATGTGTGCACCGTGTCTATGCTGTAACTTGCAATCTCTGTAACTGCACGGGTTAAGACCACTGCTTTTGAGCAAGTTTTTGGTATTTTCAATTCCTTTGGTGGTGTAAAAGGAAACAAATAAAATATATGCTGAAACCAAATTTGCTACAAATATCCACGGGAATAAAATATATTTGTGACTTGGTGGAGGTGTGTCTAAGTATGGAAAACTGCAACTTTGAATTTCTTGATTTGAGGAATTTAATCCTATTTATCAGTACCTACTGATGTGTATATTAATGCTCAGCATATTCTTATGGGCACTGGAATGAACAGGGAAGTGCAGTCCTTCAGCATCTCAAGACTGTCGCTAATTCCTCGAATGAATTTCTTCTAGAAACTATGTCCTCCCGCTGTTTTCTCTTGCCAGGGACTGTGCGATGGCGCTCCCAAAGGCCGCCCTGTGCCCGCTCATCCCCTCAGCCAGCTGTTGCCATCTGGCGGCCATCGAGCAGAGCCGCCGGGCTCCTGCGAGGGCTTCCAGAGGGGAATGTGTGCCATGATGACTGTAACCAGGGGCAATCTGGGAACAAACACATGGCAAACTCACAGATACTTGTCTAACCATCTGCCTTCTCTTGTCCAGTGCTGCCATAATTTACTGTCACCAACAGTGCCGTTTTTCTGATACAAAAATGTATTAAAAAAGGTATATACTGCATTAGAAAGCTAACTCCCCTAAATGAACGGTGCTGTTATTTTTCAGCTTTTGTTCCTTTAATTTCCCTGATGTACTATCTAATCTCTCTCTGTTCTTTTTACTGCTTTTGCTTCTGCTTCACATCACCCCCACCCTCCCACAGACCGTGTCGTCCACATATCTGTTGGAGCCTCTGGCACTGTCTCTCTTCCATCAGGCATTGTCTTTATGCATACAATTCCTTGACCAAAATTTCAGTTAAAATCTTGTATTCCTCACTCTGTCAGAAGCATTAGGGTATTCTGTTCGCTTGCACTGTGTCTGTACGATATCACCCTGACAAAGAGACCTACTTGTAGGAGCACTTGTTCATGACCGACTTCCTCTGGGCAGGAGCGGCCTTGCAGCACTTGTTCCTTGTACATGGATGGAAGGAACGATGCCCTAAATTCAGAAAGCAGTGAGTTCTACTGCTTTCCAATCAATCTGAACAAGGCTGGTCTGCTGTTTGCATGGTGGGTAGTGTCTCTCATGTCTGGGAGCTGGTGAGGGGGCTCAAAAAAACAAGCCAAAAAGCATGGAGTCAAGATAGACATAAGAAGGGGGATTGTGTGGGAATAAAATATTTGTCAAAAAATTCTCTGAATACTCTGAAGGCAAAAAAACTTCCCATCCTAGCGATGGATCAAATTCAGGCACTCAGTGTAGCTTGTTCCCTCCCCTTGCTTTTTCACCTTGGTCATATGGGTCACATTCCCCCATTAACAGCAAACAGCATTCACTTCTCTGTCCATATTTAACCACAGTAGGTCAGGTTGCCTTGATTTTTTTGGGAGGGAAAAGGCCTTGTGCCTCTGCCAGGGAACATTCCTTGCAGCCAGGCTGCTGCTCCCTAAAGGCCTTCTCCAAATACCCGCTTCTTCCTCTTCCAGGTGCCTGGCTCCCAGGCTGGGAGTGCTCAGCTCAGCTGCACAAGAAATAACCCCTTGCTAAAGCCACAGATTTTTTAGGACCCCTACAAACTCTGCACCCTGCTGACTCCAAGAGTTAGACCTTTTCAGAGGGAGGGGGACAGAAACTTATGTAACCCAAGAGCTATAATTTGCCAGTGTGGTAACACTCTTCTCCACCTGTTTCAAAGTGAACCTGCCAGCCCTGCCTGGGGTGGGTAGGAATGCTTTGAGAGACCCTGAACGGATCCGGAGGGCCATGGTCGGCATTCCAGCCATGCCTCCATGCAATTGTATCTTTGCTATTCACGGCAGCTGCCTGGCCTGGGATAAAGGCTGGAAGCAGTCAGACGCTGGTTTGAAATAAGATAGCTGCAACAATGGGAGCTGCTGTCAGGGAATTAGCTAGGAAGAAGGCCAGTTATGTAGATGGAGAGTTTTTACTGGAGGATAAATGTAAATGCTGACTGCTGAATGCTGACTTAGTGGAGGGGAGTGGGTGAGGGAGACTGATTAAAAATAATAATAATAATAATAATAATAAAGGCATCCAGTGTGAAACACCAAACCAGCTGGCAGCCAGCACAAAGGCTACCCAGCAGAAATAGAAAATGCATCTGGTGTCACCCAGAGGCAAAGCTAAGAAAGGTTTTTGCCGGCAATGTTTTCTGGAAAAGGGAATTTGGTACAGTGTGTAAGAGTGGTTGTGGCAGATGATCCAGTGCCATGTCCTGTCTTTACATGATAGGTGCCTAGGGAAAATACAAGAACAGCATAAGCATTAGGCAATATATCCCCAGGACACTACTGCAGCCACCTGGGACTTGTGATTCTGGGACTTCTGTGACAGACTTCTTAGAAGGACTGGGGGGTGTACTTAATAGTATGAAATTAATTTATCAAACTATTTTTTCTGAATACAGACAAACCTCTGACAACCAGACACTCCTGTGGCATCATGCTCCACTGCAGCCATGCTGTGTGAAGGAGAGTCTTGGTTAAGCATGACAACTCTAAGTTTCCCTTAATGCCCTCTACTTTTTTGCCTGGGGACAGCTAGTGAATCCGAATCTGCCTTCTCCAGACCATCTGGTATTTTACAGACTCTACTAAAGCTCTCTCTCTGGCTTCTCTTTCAGGCTGCTGGTTCTTACTATCTATCTGTTCCAGGTACAGAAGCCAGTTTGTACTGTGGATGTTGTCACTTTCTCCCGGGCCTTTTCCAAGTCTTTTAAAACCAGAGGACTGGAACTGCGAAGAACACTCAGGTCATCATGGATTTTCAGCATCATTCATATTTGCTTCATCTTCTTTCCTAGGAACTGCTGGACACTTCACGAGATTATCTCTCTCAAGATTTTGTTCCTGAGTGATATTGGTGAGCTCAGAGTAGACAGTCATATATATATGAGATAGATAGACAGATAGACAGACAATTCTTCGTAGTTTCTTATTTTTTTTGTTAGCCTGAATAATTGCTTGTTATTACCAAACACACCGCTTTTCACTGCTTTTCCAGGTGATTTATGGCAATAAAGAGCAAGCACTTGAATGCCCTACAGGAATCCACTGGATCTGCCTGCTGTCAAAACCACCAGCCGTGTTCCTACCGTTTGACTTTATGAGTTCAGTAAGTATATGGATGGTGGGATGGGGAGAGAGGGTGTCCCTCTTGCTTCAGGTTACTAAGGTTAGTTAACAGCTTTCAATGTGGGGACTCTACTAGGTACCTTCTGAAAATTCCAGTAGATTCAAGGAGATGGATCTCTCTTCAATGTATTTGTTCACTTCTTTGAAGATTTCCCATCTGTCTGTAAGGCCAAGTGAGCAGCCTCAACCCAGCATGTCATCTATATGCTGTTGAGGGTGTATCAGAAATAAATGACTGTGATCTGTTTTCTCTCAGAGAAACAAAATCCTAAATCTGGCAAGTTGCTCTGTTCAAAAGGGTGACACACAACTTTGGGTCTTCAGCTCAGAAAGTTTCCGAGATATCACTCAGATGTTCAGTTACTTACAGATAATTCTTCCTTAGCTTCATTTGTGGATTTATTTGTTTATTAAGTCACAGATCACATTGCCACTGAGAAAAAATGACCTTTGTAAACTGCAGAAGATATTTGTCTGGTGAAACACACTGTGCTCCCATTTCCAACCCGGTGGTGCAGTGGCCCTCAGCTGTCATTCCCAAAACAGGTGCTGTAAATCAATACCCTGGTAGTTATATTTTGGCAGCACCCTGGCAGGAGGCAGCACAGCCCTCCTCTGAACAGACCTTAAAGGTGTTTTGTGCGGGCCTTCATCTGTATGACTGCAGCAAGAGGGAGCTGGGATGATGAAGGTCCATCACATACTCCTCCTTATCTCTGCAGGTAAAGGTGTTCCAGCCTTGAAAGGGGTCATCTCCTTCCTGAATGTGTGGGACCAGGGCTTTGCATATACATCAGAATGAGTGAATATGTGTTCTGGGAGCAGCCTGTCCTACTGATAAAGTTTTATGAACGCACCAAATAATTTAAAGGAGAGCTTTGGAGTGCATTAGCAGTTCAGATATTTCTAATTTCAGGCACCAGATATTTTGAATTGAGATTCTAGGTTTAATTGTTTTTCTGGTTTTGCATTTAATTGCTCCCATCTTCCCTAGTGCTACGTGTATTTCAAAATATATGAAAGGATCTATTTAGCACAGCTTGGAATATAAAAAGTTTTTACAAGAAATTTCATTATGTTGTGGAATGACTGATAAAGAGGTCGAATTGATTTGCAGCTGCATGTGTTGTACCGAGATAATTCTTTTTAAACTGTCCTTTAAAAAAATAACTATTTTGTGATCCTAAAAATGTTTTACCGAATTCAAGCAGTATATTAAATTCCTACCGAGGCACACCAGAAGGGGGCAATTTTAATCGGATTAATGGAACATAGCAAAGAGTTTGAATTAGATGTGATGTTGTGATCATAACTTAAAAATTGAAAGATGACTCCCACCACCATAGCCCAGCCTTTCTGGCAGGGGAAAAAAGCAGTGCCTGTCTGTGACAGGCTTTTCTCATTGGCATCCAAGTATTTGAATATAATCTCATGGCAGGACAAGGCCAAGACAGAATCCTTGGAAATCTCAGCTATATAAAAGCTGATGAAAAGTCAGTTAGGAAACAAGGGGAAATCTTAGCTTAGGTTGCAGTCAGCACCAAAATTCTTATTGACTTCAATGGTCCAGGATTCAACTGAGAGGGGGAGGCAAGGGTGGGATCTGCCAGAAATGCTTGCAGTGAGGATCAACTGTTCTGTTCCCTCTCACTACGTTTAGGAGGGGATACATACAAAAACATCCCCAAGCAGCCCTTCCCTTTCCTTTACTCCCCTGTAACAGTGAAGCAGCTACAAGCTGAGCACATCATGTACCTGCGTGTTCTGCCACAGGGTCTCTCGAAACGGGGTCCGTCTGTTTTTCTGTGCCCTTGCTCCTCAGGAGGGCAATGCCATGCACAGATACTATGAGGGTTCCACTGGAACAGAACTGCTCCCTGCCGTTTTCACTTGTGACGTTTTTCTTACAAGGGCTCTTTGACACAGCACTGCCAAGTCACACTGAGCAGCCTGTGGGCAGAGCTGTCTAAAGACAGGTTGAGACCTCCCGTGAGGAAAAAGAAATGGAGCCCACATAGTGAATGGTTTTTCTTCTCTCACCACCTGCACAACCTGAGCAACTCCCATCGGGGAGAGGAGCTCTTGTTCTGCTCAGATTGCAGATGCAAGGAGTCTGGGTGGTGATTTCATCTCAATGACTGATGTGTTGGCCCTCTCCTTTAATGTTACTGTCACAGGCAAGTCTGTGGAATTGAAGGTGGAGAAGCCAACATTAGAAATCCCTGATATTGTGTATTCTCTCTGCTTAACTGTCCACAATTATTGCATGTTAGCACAGTTGCAGGCTGGAAAATCCTGGAGGAGATTTCTAATGCTCAGTCTGATGTCCACAATCCTGGCTATTTGGTTTTGTTCATCTCCTGGTTGGAGGCTGTTGTTGCCTCCAACCCCTAAGCTGTACCCAAATCAGATAGGCAGTTACCCCCACTGATGGCATTTGCATGTCTGAAATGAGGAGTCCCCCCCAGCAGCAGCTTGGTGTTGTCAGTATTTCCTTCATGCCCACCTCAGTCTGACGGTGCTGTAGCCTGTTCCCTGCCCCGTCTCACTGGTGCCACCCCTGCTGTTCTGCAGCTGGGCTGGCCCTGTGCTACGAACACGAGACTCGCCTTGTTGAGGACTTGTTCAGGGACTACAACAAGGTGGTGCGCCCAGTGGAGGACCATCGGGACGCTGTCGTCGTCACCGTCGGGCTGCAGCTCATCCAGCTGATTAGCGTGGTACGGTATGAATGTGTGGTACATGTTGATCAGCTGGCTTATGTGACAGTGCCAAAGTGGGTTTTCTTTCTAAGGAAACAATTTTTCTCCTTTAATTCTGTTTGCTGTTACTGCCTTCTTTTTTTTTTTATTTTCTTCCTTCTTTTCTTTCTTTTTTTTAAGGATGAAGTAAATCAGATTGTGACAACCAATGTACGCCTGAAACAGGTAACTCTAAATATTCTCAACCATTTCATCTAATTCAAATAAACACACTGGACACAGCCGGGAATTAATTACTCTGCCATACTTTCAGGGGCAATTTGGACAGGTGGGGTCAGCTAGCAAAGCATTTCTTCTTTCTTAGGGTCTCAATAATAAAATGCTCTAGACAATAAGAGTCTTAAGAAAAATGTTTTGCACTGTATTTCAAATAGTAGACTTGTAATATATTTATCTTTTGTGTTATTTACTTTTTGGGTTTTTTTGGTTTTTTTAATAAGTTTCTTAAACCAAAATTTAAATTAATGAAAAAATGAGCTGGGGGTCCCACTCCCATATATTTATGCTTACCTGCATATCCTGAAGCAAGGGAGGTGTTGTTTCTAGGAAGTACTAAAACTACCCCCAGAAGTGCAAGAAGAGGTTTTCAGGGACTGAAATCTTCCCTCTTTAGCAATGGATAGACGTCAACCTCAAGTGGAATCCAGATGACTATGGTGGCGTGAAAAAAATCCGCATCCCTTCGGATGATATCTGGCGGCCAGACCTTGTTCTTTACAACAAGTAAGGAGTGCCAGCTGCCTGGGGAAGGAGGGTGGGAGGGGGAGCTCTGCCCCATGGCACCACTTTGGTGGGGCAGTTTTCTCATAACATTTGATCCAGTGGGTAGTATTTCTCAGAGCAAGCTTCTCCAGGAGAAGGGGCAATGGCACTGGGGGACCAGCTGACCCACAGGCAGAAATCCTTTTGTGACCATGTCAATTATGCTGCCCATATTGCTGTTAATGTCCTTGTTCCTTTTGCAGCGCAGATGGTGACTTTGCCATTGTAAAATACACCAAAGTCCTTCTGGAGCACACAGGTCTGATCACCTGGACACCACCAGCTATTTTTAAGAGTTACTGTGAAATTATAGTCACGCACTTCCCATTTGACGAGCAGAACTGCAGTATGAAGTTGGGAACTTGGACGTATGATGGGACAATGGTTGTTATTAACCCGGTAAGCAAGGAGTTTGTAATTGGGAAAAGCAGTAAAGACCTGAGTATGTTTTTAGGGAAATCTCAGATTTAGAATGGAATATGATCTCGTTTTGACTGGAAAAACAAGCAGGCACTACCTGTAAAATAGAAAAGCCCTTTTTGTAGATCCAGGACAATATTTCCTGGTTTGGCTTCTAAAATTCTGCACACGTATAATTCCTGGGCCCTAACAGTCTCCTACCTGTCTATCCTCTGTCAGCTTCACACTGCTCCTTATGGTGCTGCCTGTCCTGCCTCTGTTTCCTTGGGTTTTTTGGGGGGCTGCATTTTCTCTGCTCATGACTTTCCATTGCCAGGGACTCTTTCCCTGGCCCCTCAGGTACAATTCCTATTTGTAATACTTATTCAGTCTACTGTCCTTAACTGTAAAATATTGACTTGAATGCTGTGTAGAGGCTGATATTCTAAGGCAAAATAACACAGACAAGAGTGGTTTGCTCACAAAAATCATGAAGTGCCTGAGTTATTTGGAATCCTGTTCCTGAGCCAAATGTGCCAAGTTTTGATTTGGTTCAGAACATCTGGTATTAAGAATTTGTTTGGGATTTTGCTGCCAGGAGAGTGACCGTCCAGATCTGAGTAACTTCATGGAGAGTGGGGAGTGGGTGATGAAGGATTACCGTGGCTGGAAGCACTGGGTTTACTATGCTTGCTGTCCTGATACCCCTTACCTGGACATCACCTACCACTTCCTCATGCAACGCCTGCCTCTCTACTTCATCGTGAATGTCATCATCCCCTGCCTGCTCTTCTCCTTTTTAACAGGGTTAGTTTTTTACCTACCCACAGATTCAGGTATGTAAATTTATTCATTCTACTGCCATAGAAATTGCTCTTCTAACAAATTCCTGAGAAATTCATAGTATTTGAAATCACTAGCCAACCTCAAGGCTAGTGCACACAAAAACTGGACATTTCCACTGAAAGTAATGGCTCTAAATATTCTGCAAAGAAAGGATAAATGCCAAAAGCCGAAACTATTCATAGAAATAATTTGAGGTGCTTTCTCACAGAAATTGCTGATTAACTATCCAGTTAACTTCTGCAAACCAAAGATTTAGCTGGTTAATTTTTATATTTTGTCATAGATAGGTAGTCAGGGTGTTAGTGCATCATGCAGTAAGTGAGCACACAAGGGTGACTGAGGCCCTTCTGCATGATGTTAGAGCAGAGAGCTTGTTATCTTCTCACACACATTACCTTGTCTGACACAGAGAGTAATCCTGGCCTATTCTGGCCTCCTTTGTCACTGCTGAGCAGCTTGTGCTCCCTGCAACCATTTCCTCTGCTTCATTCCTTTTGCCTTTTGTCAGTTTTTCACAGTTCTTGATTTTAGTAAGTCCCTTCTTATGAAATAGTTGATTTTTTTTTTCTTCAGTGGAATACTTTCTAGAAAGTTGAACCAGATAAAAAAATGTGTGAATAATGTTTTATAGTTCATTTTTGACACCCTACATACATACTGGGAGATCTCAAATAGCAACTGACCTCTGGTGTCATATGTGATTTTTTTTGTCTGCTCTCTCAGCCCAGAGCCAGAGAGTAATGCAAGCAAACTCCCAGGAGGCTGTGGAGCAAGTGCTAATTAGGTGCATATATTGCATTGTTGGAAATACACAGCCCTGGCAAATAATGAAATGCTCTTGGCAAGTAAACTTTCCATATCTCTCACCCACACTTCAGCCCAGCCCTACCTGGTAATTCCCACCTTTGTGCTGGAGTTGATGCTCTGTTAGGCTCTCAGGTTTGTCCAGCCTAGTTACCATTTTGAATGCCAGCAGAGACCATAGCACTCCAAATGCACACCTGTATTTTTGTGAACAGCTATCATCCACATCCTGGATCTTAAATACTTTCTGTACCAGATGATAGGAGCAGCAAAGGTATTATCTTTTTTTTGTTTGTTTTGTTTTCATGGCAGGTGAGAAAATGACTCTCAGCATCTCTGTCCTGCTGTCTTTGACTGTGTTCCTTCTGGTCATTGTGGAGTTGATCCCTTCCACCTCCAGTGCAGTGCCTCTGATAGGCAAATACATGTTGTTTACAATGGTGTTTGTCATCGCTTCAATCATCATCACGGTCATTGTCATCAACACCCACCACCGCTCTCCAAGCACTCACACCATGCCACACTGGGTCAGGAAGGTGAGCTCTATGGCTTTGTATGTTCGCTGTTTTCCACTGAACGCTCCATATATTATTGGCAGGCTTTCTAATAAAAGTCAACAAGAATTGGGGAAGTAAATGCATCATGTTAAATGTCTCTAGGCACAAGAGCTGGTGTTTACTACTTAGCTGTGCATAAAGTCAGCAAGACTACTAAAGTGCTCCTGTAAGTAACACAATTGTCCCCTGGGGTAGAGTCTTGCAGGGAACAGATAAGACAAAACATGGGCAACTGAAGGTACAGGGAAAAGAAAATGTCCATCTGGACTCATATTACATTTTCCTGGTCTAATTCTCCATCTGACTGCAAGGCACTGCTGCCTGCCAGTGGCCAAGTCCCTGGCCTGCGTGAGTGCAGAGCACAAAGGCCATTAGGAATACCTGAGTTCAGCATCCTGTTTTGCAAAAGACAGTTTAGCAAAAGCTAAACAATCTTCTCTGTACTTTTCCAGTATACAGCTGCTCTGCAGCCCTTGGGAAGAGAGGACATCCTTGCACAGGAGTCTAAATGGTAACCACAAGATGCAGAAAAAATTGGTTGTCTGTCATTACAAGTTCTTTTCCAGGGAAACAGTACCAAAAATTATCTGATCCATTCAGTAATTCTTGCCACTGAAGTTTGCCTGTGTTCATACTAAACCATGAAATGGAAGGAGATTGTTCTGTGTATCTCTAATTATATAAGGCTACAGCTTATGTAAGATCCTTTTGCAGACTTATAATCCCTGCAGAAGTGAAATTTCAACAGGCAAACAGAGTATGTGCTTAACATTGCTCTGGCAGCAAGCCTCTGTCACTCCAAAGGAATTTATTGTAAGCCTTATATGCATGTATATCAAACATTTGTAATAGGAAAGTCAAATGTAAGTAGCCAAAAGAGATTCTTTGTAGTCTATTCTTCAAGTCAGATTTGTAAGTAATATGTTTCAAATTAGATGAGATGAACAAAGCTCTGCCAGCTCATGCTAACTGAGGGTCTGTTCCAGAGCATTGCTTCCCACTTCATGTGTGGATGTTGGGTGTATGGCAGGGGGAAATGTTTTAAAGAAATGGTGTGGCAGGCCTGCGGGTGACTCCCTCTGCCCCAGGGCAGGAGGCTGACAAAAGCCCCAGTGAAACTGAGGCGTGGGCTGTGACATACTCCGAGAGGGAATCTGTAGCAGATCCAGCACGGGAAGCGATCTGGGAGAGGAGAGACTTGTCTTTGTTCAGCACACAGCTGCATCTGTAACACAGCCCCACAGACCAGAAACTGTCATCTTCCCTCTTTGTTTTCAGATCTTTATTGACACAATCCCAAACGTCATGTTTTTCTCTACGATGAAACGACCATCCAGGGATAAACAAGACAGAAATATTTTTGCAGAAGATATTGATATTTCTGACATTTCTGGGAAGTCAGGCTCTGTGCCTGTCAACTTCTACTCCCCACTTACCAAAAATCCAGATGTGAAAAATGCTATAGAGGGAATCAAATACATTGCGGAAACGATGAAATCGGACCAAGAAGCCAGTAATGTAAGGCATTTTTTGTGCATGATTCATTTCTAGCTTTTAAATTGCTACATCTTACTTTTTTGGCAAAATAACCCTGCCTTACGAAAACACTCCAAGGCCTGATTTGGCTTTAGCAGTGGACAGTCTTCTCCCCTTGATACAGTCAAAAAGGAGAGACAGATAACTGAGATGGTAATTGAATATTGGCCCCCCAAAATAAGAGAAAGGAAAAAAAGTGTCAGTACTAAGGTTTTCTAAATGTGGTATGTGAAGCCATAGACATGGAGTGTCTGTGAGCAGGAAAGCAGCTTCAAGAACTGTAAGCAAGTTCCAAAACACATTCCTCCTGTCTCCCACTCGGGCATCTTCCCTCTGCGGTAAGCAAGATCCTATTGCTTTTGAAAAACCAGGAAGCAAGCCAAACTCCAAAAAACTAGTAGTTTTATCTGAGAAGTGTTAAATGTAACTTAAAAAATGATAATTCCAATTTTTGAAAAGGTTTTGTTTTATTCCTGACTGTTACAAGTAGTCCCTCCAAATGAAGCACGTCATGAGCTACTCTGATTACTGACTTTTTCCACATTGCAAGCCAAAGGAAGGATAAAAGCATATAGAGTCACACATGGCAGTGTTCCCCAGGAAAATCTAGTTCTGCCTCCTTCTAGCACATTTGACACAATTAACCCCTCATTTATTTCAGTTTTCACAGCTCACACAGCTTTTGCAGAGGTAATTCAGTCTTGGTACTTCACCCTTCTAAACGGTCATAGTCCTTTCCTGTTGGGCTGCAGGCTAGTCTGAAGACAGGGAGAGTTCTCTGAGAAAATAATTTGGCCCATGCTGTTGAAAAGGAGGCACTTCCTTCCCATGGACAGGATTTACACCATGGTGTTTGTTCCTGTGACCAAATTCCTGGAGCATGTGGAATGACTCTGGCTGTAGTCTCATGTTCCCCATGACTCCTATGCCCCTCTCCAGATAAAGTGTTATTCTCAGCAGGGCTGGCGTGGCTTCAGCATCCCTGGGCTTCACTTTCTCCTAGGCTTACAAAGAGGATCTTCAGGTTACCAGCAAGTGTCCCCTTTGGAAGTGGAGCCCAGCTGCTTGTGCTGATATCACTTCCAGGGGGTTTCAAAAGTCAAGTTCCCCAAATGAACTGAAAGCTATGGCTTCTGAAGGCTGTTGCTTCATTGTATTCACTTATGAATCACCTCAAGCCAGTACTCACCATCAGTATCCTCTAGATAATTACAACAGCCTCTTCTACTTGTGGGACAACCAAGGCAAAAGTAGAAGGTGCTTTAGGCCAGCACGTGTCACTGCTTAAAGCAGAGTTACAGGGTGGAAATCCTGAGCCCTGCTGTACTTCATGCCTCACACTCTGCTCAGCCTTACCATTCTGGATTCTCAGCAAAGGCATGCAGGGAAAAGGCAGTCACAGAGCAAGTGGTTCACAGTGTGCCACAACTGGAAAAAAGACTAAGGGAGCTACCAAGAAGGTTTTACAAGACCTTAGAGTATATACTAGGCATGGAAAGCAGGGACTAGAGTTAAATTAATGGAAATTGCCTAGATATCCCACAAGAAGGAAAACACAATGGAAAAACTGAAGTCAGTTGGGTCAAAATAAAGTTTTTGCTTTCAACAGTTTAAACTGTTTCAAAAGTAACCATTGGCCTAAAAATTAAGCTTTTTAACATTTTTTTAAAATTAAATCGGTCAGCAAATTGCCAGGGTTTCTGGTAAGTTTAGTGTTGAAACTTCTATTTCTAGGTTGCTTAGGCTTTCTTAACCACTGACCTGCTTTTGAGAAGAAAATGAGTATTTTTTGCATAACAATAATGGAACTTATAGAAGAGCCTTACCATTGTTCAAGACAGCACATTAAAAGAATGCCCATAATAAACATGGCTCTGCAGAGGTTTTACCATCTCCTTTGTTTCTTTCCCAGGCTGCAGAAGAATGGAAGTTTGTTGCGATGGTGCTTGATCATCTTCTCCTTGGCATATTTATGCTAGTTTGTTTTATAGGAACATTAGCTGTATTTGCTGGTCGACTTATTGAATTAAATCAGCAAGGATGAATGTGAGCTGGAAACTATTTGCTACTCTGAACATCTGAAAGCATCATAACTATCAAAATCTGGGCAGCCTCTGAAAGTTTCACTGCTGGGAAAGAGCAGGGACAATAAAACATAAGGCTCCATACTTAGCACTTTTGAGCTGCTGCTCAGTGGTATTTCATTGCCAAAAAGAAACACTTATATCACTGGTAAACTTGAATGGCTGTCAGCCAGGTTTTGATCCATTTTACCATTTATTAAAAATGTTAATGTATTAATAAGACTGTCTGACTTTGTAAGCAACAGATACAATTCCAGTGAAGTCAATAGCAGTGTAATAAGCTTTAGCTGAGCTGTAAATCTGTATCCAACTTTAGCATTCAAGCTGGTTTCAATATCTGCTCTGTGGCTTTTGTATTGGCAGGGTCACAAATTACTCCTCTCATAACACTACATGTAACCATCAGAAATATCTCAAACTCCATGCTTAAACACTTGCTTTTCATGCACAAATCTGAACTGACTGACTCATACATGACTCTACCTGTAGAAACTCTTTCTGCAGCAAAGAGGAGAGACTTACTTATTCCTTACTGTGGGAAGGATCCAACCTATTCCTAGGATAATCTCCATATTAAACCTACTTTGCTCTTGGAAGGTTGGTTTCCACTCTTCATTTTGAGTGATGAGTAATGTGGGGGCACCTTCAAACTTGGGTGTGTTTGCCTTAACACAATTCTCTCTGTTTCCTGAAAACTATCCCCTGCTCTGCTGAAATAAATTGTGAGCATTAAAGTCAGACACAGCATCACACAGATCATTCCTCGGGAAGGTGTGGATCTTAGCTGTTCTTACATACGACAAAAATGACAGGACACCTCTTCCGAGCAACACAAATAATTACCCAAACTTTATTCAAAAGTTGAGCAGCAGCTCACTCTGGTGGTTAAAGCAAAGTAGTGCTGCTTTTGGCCAAAGACAGCTGGGGTTAGTAAGCAAGAAGCCTCTGTGTATTTCAATAATACGGTGTGGCAATACTAGCAGTGCTGCCTATTTTCCTCAAAAATAAATAAAGAGAGGTGGGGCAACTGCGACAAGTTACTCATCATTCCCAGCTGGTTGTCCAAGCCAAGAGGACTACTTTGCTAACAGCTGTAAATAATTTGCTGTGAGTTTAATAAATTAATTTGTATTATATTAATGCTCTACAGGAATGTGTCATGCCTGCAGAGAACAGGCATTTGAAACACTGTAGGGAAAATTAGGCAGTTGTGCAACACTCCCATCATTGCGTAGTGTTTGCTAGAAAATGTTTTGGAGAGATGCAGTCCTAAGAAAACAGTTTGTCTGAGGCAATTGATCACTTGTAGCACTCTGCTCAGCTCTTCTGGTTTAAAGGATGGTAATCTTTGCCTCCCTGGATGATCATTAACCCTGTAAACGATTGCCGAAGATGTATGCTGGGTGAAACCTCTGCTGACAGAGGGAGCGTTTGCTGCAGCTCGGGTTATCTTCAGTGTGACTTCCCAGCTCTCAGCCCTCGTGGGGAGTCACGTAGGTCCCTGCTCACGATGAGCTAAGCTGCGGCACAATGGTGCCTGGAATTTAATTTGGGAGTCTGTGAGTGGCACTAGAATTGACAGAACAATCCTCTTAGAGCAGCATGTGGTTGAATCTTAGCATTAAAAATAAGCATCAAGTAATAAGATTCATGGTGAGCATCCACAGTATCTTTATTCAGCTTTCCCAAGTCAGATCTGGGTCTTGGCCTCCCGATTCCCCTTATGTGTGTGCCAGGGTGCGTGCATGCACACGTGTACCTGCCTGCTTGCTTCTCCAGCTCTCTTCATACACAGTTATCTACCAATGTTTTCCTTCCACTTCCTCAGAAAAAGTTTTGAAATTATTTATTTTAAAATTTTCACTTGTGATGGCTTGATTTGTCTTATAGGCATAGCAAATCTTCTGCCTTCCTATCACTCTGAGTCTTGATGAACTACTTGTGTCTCAAAAGATGTGACACCAGGCAAAAAGAAATGTTAATAACTTCTCTTCTTAGGTTGCAGATTCTGGGCATTGTACTCTGACTCTCCAAACAGAAGGTGTTCCAAGCATTTTCTTTTTTTTTCTTTTTCTTTTTTTTTTTTGCTTTGCTTTGAATACTCAGACTGTACCAGCCTTTATTTTGTTCCTAAATCATCTTTGTGATACGTTTCTCTTGCAAACCACTTGCTTACCACTAACATCCTCTGTTACGAGTATCCATCTACTGAAAGAGTACCCTTACCTACATGCAGACTATTTCTTCTCAACTACTACTGTCCTTTTAACATGTCAGGACCTGCTAAAATAGTAGCTTTGGATGTTTTAAATGTTCTGTTACGGTCACAGATAATTTGCTGTCAATGCATAAGTATATGTTGTCTAATGATTTCTCGTTTACTGTGGTCTCTCCCTGCACTAAACTCTCCTCTCTCCTACATAGGTAGAACCAGCAGCCCCAGGGAGAGATGACCCTGGTAATACTCATGCAACCCACACAGGCATCTCTGTTGCCTCATTGCCTTAAACAGGCACATTTCAGCTCTGAGCTTTAACTAACAATTCTCATGATAAGCAAAACAAGAAGCAGGCCTCACACACTCATTGTTAAATTTTTCTAGCAAATATAAAAAGTAATGACATGCAAACACCATGGTGCTGAAGTAAGCAGATCTCATTTAAATGAAGGTAGACCAGTGGCCTCTGGGTGAGAAGCTGTTGCTTTTATAGTGATAGTACCCTAAGCAGTTAACTAGTCTCTCTTTTCACTGCCATCTTCTTGCTACTAAAGCTGCTTTTGTTTAATTTGAACTTGTTGATAACACCCTATTTATGTCCTTAATAGAATAGCTCCCTGGAACATCTCCATCTTTTTCAGTCTGATTCTCTTTCCAATTTTTAATCCATGTGACAGTTAACTTTCCCCTTCCCATCCCTTTAGCTGACCTTCAGCTACTCTCTACTGTGTCATGGATATGCAGCTCTCAGAGATGCAGTCACCCTCAAATCTCTTTCCCCTTTGGCACTTTGCTCTTCAAGACACCTGACCCTTCTGAGGGGGTTATTTGAGTTTTTAAAGTCCATTACCTTGTACCAGGTCCAAGGGAGCAGTTTCACCTCTATGTGAGTCTGTAATCAGAACAGGCTGCTGCTCTCCATCGTCACCAGACAGTTAAGCTGAACCCAATGTCCTCATTCTGTCTATTCAGCCACTAGGATCTTGGCTTTGTAAAATGTAGTTGAGCTGATCGAGAGAACAGAAAAATGACACTCATTGAACTCCAAATGCTTGATTATGAGCTTATGTGTGCCAGGTGTGATCATTCACCTGCCACTAGTGCTTGGGTCCTGCAGCCTCCTTCAGTTTGAGCTTTTAAAAAAAGGTTATTTTTTCAGGCAATTGTAAGATAACTTAAGTACTCGTTTTTTGCTCCAGGATATAAGTTGCTGCCAACCTCCTTGCTGTGGTCATCTCTCCAGAGATGTGTGAAAGCAGTGTGAGTTTCACCAGCATGCTGACCCAGCAGTTCTGTTTCCACAGCTGAAGCAAACCACAGCAGGTAGGGACAGCGGGACAAGAGAGAGTACGTGTAACACAGGACCCACAAAGTGCATGAACACTATGCTGCTAGTGGAGAAAGGGAGCACATTACCTCCCTGAAAGGTTTGTTTTCTGGTATGACGGCATGCAAGATGCCACCTTTAAAGTCACTGATAGCTTAGCACATCAGAAATGTTTTTGACTTTGGACACTTTCAGAAGGTTGTTCTCTTTGAACCCAGCCACAAGACCTCACGTTTTCATATGTTTACTAGTGCTAGACAAAGTCTAGCACAGCCTTCAGGCCGCTAGGCATGCTCCTGGGTATAAATTTTCTCCCTCTCTCTTAAAAATTGTGAAACCCATACAAAGTCTCCTAAGCTTCTCTCAGCTGAATGTTGCACAGACACTGACTTCTAACAAAACTCTGAAGTACTTTCTCTCTTTCTGAAAGTCAAGTCCCAACCATAGAAAGGGCAATCATGCATTGCTTTGCTAAAGATTATCTAAAATAAATGTACTTCATTCCCTGATAAAGTATAAAAGACTGACACAGCTATGGAAAACAACCAACCTGCAGGCAAGCATTTCCATGCTCACCGCAAGAGCCCTGCTGAGTCCCCCTGGCTGTAGACGGATTGTCTACAGCAAGGACAGAACAATTTCATTGTTACCGTGGGACAGACCAGCCTGACCAGCAGGCAAGAGTCCAAAGGAGTTCGTAGGCTACTGCAGCACAGTGATGATGGGCCACTCAGTGGACTCCCCATAAAGGGACAACTGTTTCCTAGCAAGTGGTGTCACCATTTCCTGTCATCTCAGCACAGATTTCCCATTGCAGCACATCTTCCCAACTACTAACAGCCAAGAGATCTGTATCAGTGTTTGCTTCTTATCCCATACGGAGCCTGGAATAAACACATCACATAGTATTTCCCCAGTATGTAGACAAGAGGAAGCTGTTTGCCTCTACATGACTGTTCAGCTAACCAATGACCCAAATGCTGTATGCTGTGTTTGGGAACCTCATGTGGATTTGTGACCCTCTTTAGAGAGCTTTGGGACTGTAAAAGCAGTAAACAGACTACCTGCAGTTTTACTATTTGTGAGCACCATAATTTTTGCTTGCAAGCTAATCTACATTGTGTGTATGGGTCAGAAAAGGGTAGACATAAAAAATTGTACCAGTTTTTGTGTCCATCTTGGAATACTCCAACCATGCAATGACACAAAAACAGAGAAATGACCTATATAAAAGCCTGGCAAGGTTTCCAACCTTACACTGATGGCTGATCAGTAATGCCATTGCTCTTATGACAGCATGTCTCACCATAATGCTGTGCCTTTAGGCAACTGCTCATCTCCTGATGAAAACATGAAAGTAAGTTGCAGCAGGTTATCTTAGCATACAGGTTACTCAGTCTTTGACCTTGCTGGGACATGTTGCTACAAGTGAATGAAGTGCATATTTAAGTTTTTCAGGACACCTGTCCCTAACATTCATATATTTTAGATAACAGTGTTATGTAGCTGCTGGACTGCACCATGTCTATGCATGGAGTAAACAAAAAACATCC